CCGGGGAGGTGACTCGAATCACATGCAAGGATGGCCTCCCACAACAAGTCACTTTTAGAGGGAAACCAATTCAGATCTCTGCAGATTTCTCAAGGGAGGATGTCTTGGAATAATATATACATATCTCAAACTCTGAAAGAAAATGGACACCAGCCAAGAATACTATATACAGCAATATTAAACTTTAGAATTGACAATGAAATAAAAATCTTACATGATAAACAAAAGTTAAAAGAAATAACAACTAGGAAGACTGCTCTACTAATCTCACTTTGTAGGTTATCAAGAGGTACTAAATGGATCTAGAAAATTTTATAATCTGTTTGAGTATCTAAAAAAAGTTCTTTATTATTTGCAATTTTATAATCTGAGTATCTAAAAAAGTTCTTTATTATTTGCAATGGTTCCTTAAATCTCTAAAATAAAGGAGGCACAATTATATTCATTATATTAACTAAAAGGAACTTGTAATCCACATCCAAAAATAGAAATTTTTTTGAGAAGTTGTAGTAAGAGCCAAAAGAGTTGGAAGAGGCTGAGTGAGGCTCATTAGACTGATGCTCTGGGGAATCCCAAGTCCCACTAAACAAAAGAGGTGAATAAATCCCTCGAGAAAACAAATCTGCATCCCAAATCTCTCAGCTCTGCTGTCACCACACAAAGACATGGGTTTATTCCAGAGGTAGCTCAGCCACTGTCTCCTAGAGCCTCAGCACCTATAGAAGAAGCATCATCACAGACATTGGGCCAAGCGAGGAAGAAGAAAGTCTGTATCACTAACAACGAACTCATTAGGCCAAGAGGAAAATGAAGAATGTTCCAAAGGATAACTGCACTTTTCCAAGGCTTTCCCCAAGGACGAACTTGCTGAAAATGGAAGATTTTGAAGCAACCTCAACTCATCAGCCCCTTTGAGCTGAATGATGACAAAGTCCAAGGAAACCATCCTACTCTGGGGAATCCAACTGTCCACTCAGGAGGCTCTGGAAAAGGACACATGTTCTTAGAGAACACCACCAAACTCATGAGATGGACATCTCACACAAACACTATAAGATTTGCATTTAGAGCCCACAACACTATTGCAAACAAGAAATATCCACAAGACCCAGTTATCTTCTGTACTCCTGTGAGAAGTATACCCAAAAAGACCTGATTGGGATTTCCTAGAGGGATTCTGGACACTGGACAGTGCACCTTCAGGGCAATCTCCACCTTGGGAGCTCAGGAAAAAGGAGAGAAGCGGCACTTGTGATTAAATTCTGTTTTTAGTCTGGCATACAAGGCTCTCATCTATACCTTTCCCCCCCAAATCCAGCTCAATGCTAAAACAGCAGGAGCTAAATCAACAGTTAGTCCATCTGGGCCATTATCTCACTCACTCACACTGGGGACTCTGCCTGCCCAGAGTGCAATGTTGGCCCACCCTCTGCTCTGCATCTCCTTGCAAAACACAAAGCTCTGAATGAAACTAACTCTGAATGAAACACTGACTCTGAATGAAACTCTGACTGCTTTTCTTTAGATGGGGAAGACCTCTGCCTCATTCTAAGTGGACCAGAACAGTTCAGAAGAGGATGCAGTTCTAACTATGGCAAGACAACCTCCAGGTCAGGTGTACTTTCCCACTGGACATGACACAACTGCCCCCTAAAATGATGAATGGTCTGAGGTGGATGGTACAGCCTCATCCAGGTGCTCAGGCTGCCACACAAGGTCTCTCCTTACACTCATCAGGCAAGTAGGATCAAGGGGGAAGTGCCTGGGACTCATGAAGCAGTCTGCTTCCCTCTCTAGCTAGAAGGCCTCCCAGTGGTGACATCTAGATCAGAATGGGGATGGGTGAGCAGGTATGACAGCTAATAGCAGTCCTGTCTATGGGCTCTATCCCTCAGCTGGTCTCAAGGCCTTTGCTAGGTTTATCTATGCTGAACACATGACTCAGGGTGAACTCAGGCCTTTCTCCTCCATCCCACCCATATTCAGTCCCTCCTCACCTTGGGGCTGCTCCTGTCCTTCTCCCCACACTTCCCACCCAGTACTTCCCCCTGGGTAATACTCATTCTACTAGGTCCTCATGATGCTACTAGGTATCTCATACATGTCAAATTCTTCCATTGTTCTGGGGAAAGCTGGGTACATTTCTTGGTCTCCTTTGAGCCAAAGCATTAGGCTGCAAAGACCTCTTTTTCAAATCACTGATGAATCTAAACAATGTATAGAATCTAGAAATAACTTCAGGGGAGGAGTCTTAGTTTTATCCTCAGGGGCTGATGAATATTTTCTGCTTTTTAATAAGTGTAAATAATGTTAGAAATAATGGTGGTTTGTGGAAAGACTTTGCATAGTGTAGAAAGAAGGTAAAACAATTAGAAAGGGAATGTTAATGATATTTACCAGTTTGTTCTCCCTACTGATACCACTTCCATCCCTTCATGCCCCTGCCCTTCCTACACCTTCTTCCTCCCAGTTACCCAAATTGGTTCCTATCTTATTCTCTAGTGACTGGCAAATAATTCTTGCTGTAGCTAAGTCTGATAATGCCTAATGCTGACTTTTTTTTTTTTTTTTCATAGCCTGGATTGAACCCAGGGGCACTTCACCACTGGGCACTCACTGAGCACACTCCTTTTTTATTTTTTATTTTGAAACAATGTCTCACTAAGTTGCTGAAGGTCTTACTAAGTTGCTCAGTCTGACCTCCAACTTTTGATCCTCCTGCCTCAGCCTCCAAGAACAAAAGGTTGGTTAAGAAAAGTAAGAAAGGATAATTTGTGTTTCTTTCTTTTTTTTTCTTTTTTTTTTTTTTCTCCACTCCTGGCTACAGATGCTGACATTTAAAGAGAAATCTTAAGTGTTTCTTGGTTTGCAGTTTTTCACTGCTGGGAGCTCTCTAGCAGATCCAAACAGACTTCTATCTCCTTACTTGCCCCAAAGCTACCTTCAGGAGGGAGAATCTTCCTTGAGAGAATGTTTGTGAGGAAATGGTTCATCTTGTGAGGAAAAGTCTGCTTGGCATGTTGATTTTCCAAAGTTGTGGTCCCATAGTATATACTACATATGTGACAGGTCCTCAACCACCTGTGTGTCAACCTCCCACCAAGTCCATCTCTCAGACATCTGAGCTGATGTTATTCACTCAGTCAGTAAATATCATTAAACTTCATAATTTCAAGAAAAAATGTATCCTAAGTGGCATACAAGTTATGAAGTTTAGCAAATAATTTTTTTTACTAAATGGGAAACAAATGAAAACTATAGAAATAGAAATAAAATGTGATAATATTATCACAGACATAATCTGGAAGACATAATACGGAAGCACTCCTTCATTCAGGAGAGAAGGCTTTATAGAAAGATAGTACTTATTGAGGAAAGACTAAAGGATAAATAGGATTTGAGATGCTGATTTCTACAAACTGAAAGAATAGCCTGTGCAAAAGCACAGGTGCAGGAAAGTGAATAAAGAACCCCAAATTTGCAGAATCTGTTGTATCTGGAGCTCAGGGTTTGTGGGAAGATGTGCTGAGAGAAGAACTTGTAAATATCAGTGGGAAAGGACCATTAAGAATTATGAATGACAAACTCCCATATTGGAATTTTTATTTATGTAGATATTATCTGAGTTTTCTTCATTTTATTTATGAGAGTTCTGTGTCCTCACATAAATATCCTCTTGTCTTTTTATTCATCTAAATACTCAAGAACTCCATCAACAACTCAGGTAATCTGAAACAGCAACACCCTCAAATATGAACTATTTGCAGATGAAAATCCACTATTGGAGGAATGATATGAACAAATAGTGTTGAATGAAGGTTATGTAGAGAGGAGCAAAGAATTTATTGAGAAATAAGAACAAAAGGTTGGTTAAGAAAAGTCAGAAAGAATACTTTGTTTCTTTTTTCTTTTTTAAATATTTTTATTGTAGATGGTTACAATATCTTTATTCTATTTATTTATTTTTATGTGGTGCTTGGGATTGAACCCAGTGTCTCACACTTGCTAGGAAAGCTCTCTACCACTAAGCCACAACCCCAGCCCTTTTCATTTGTTTTAATTAGTTTTACATGACTGTAGAAAGCACTTTCACACATCATTCATAAATGGAGTATAACTTCTCATTCTTCCGGTTGCACATGGTGTAGAGTTACACCCCATCAGGTAGTCATATGTGCATAGTGTAATAATGTCCAATTCATTCTACTATCTTTCCTACTCTGGTGGCTCCTCCCCTCCTTTCACTCCCCTCTGTCTAAAATCCAAGGTCCTCCATTCCTCCCTAGCCCCAACCTCCTTATTGTGACTTAGCATCCACTTATCAGAGAAAACATTCAACCTTTGGTTCCTTGGGATTGGCTTGTTTTGCTTAGCACGATATTCTCCACTTCCATCCATTTATTGACAACAGCCACCATTTCATTCTTCTTTAAGGTTCAGTAATATTTCACTGTGTATATATACTGCATTTTCTTTATCCATTCACCTAGGTTGGCTCCATGGTTTAGCTATTGCGAATTGAACTGCTATAAACACTGATTTGGCTTCATCACTGTAGTATGCTGATTTAAGCGTTTGGGGTATATACTGAGGAGTGGGAAAACTGAGTCAAATGGTGGTTCTATTCCAAGTTTTCTGAGGAATCTTCACTACTTTCCACTGTGATTGCTCTGATTTCCAGTCCCACCAGCAATGTATGAGCATACCTGAAAGGATAATTTTTAATTCTGAGCCTTACTGAATCGCCTCTTTCTTCTAATACACATATTTATGAGAGACCAGGCACGAGACAGGCACCCCAGAGGCTCTGCAAATAAGTCTTTAGCAGCTCGTAGTGAGAAAATGTGTCCTTCATAGAAGTAAAGGATTTGTTAAGCCCCAAATAGGACACTCATCCCTCTGTCTTTCCGGTTCCAGCTTGTCCTCAGATGCTCAGAGCACCACAGACCCTGATGCTTACCACCTTTGATACTCCACCTTCCACAGAGGTCAGAGGAGCCATGGGGAACCACACCACTATCACCGAGTTTATCCTGCTGGGGCTCTCAGATGCCTGTGAGCTACAGATGCTCATCTTCCTGGGGCTCCTCCTGACCTACCTCCTCACACTGCTGGGGAACCTCCTCATTGTGGCCATCACCCTTGTGGACAGGCGCCTCCACACCCCCATGTACTACTTCCTCCGTAACTTTGCTGTCCTGGAGATCTGGTTCACCTCAGCCATCTTTCCCAAGATGCTGAACAACATCCTCACAGGACATAAGACCATCTCCTTAGCTGGATGCTTCCTTCAAAGTTTTCTCTATTTCTTCCTTGGCACCACAGAATTCTTCCTATTGGCAGTGATGTCCTTTGACAGGTATGTGGCCATCTGTAACCCTTTGCGTTATGTCACCATCATGAGCAAAAGGCTGTGTGTCCAGCTAGTGCTCTGCTCATGGATGACAGGTTGCCTTCTCATCTGTGTTCCCAGCTACCTCATACTTCAGCAGCCCTTCTGTGGACCTAATGTCATCAACCATTTCTTCTGTGACAACTTTCCACTCCTGGAACTCATATGTTCAGATACAGGTCTGATAGAGCTTTTGGGGTTTGTGATAGCCAACTGCAGCCTCCTGGGCACTCTGGCCATGACGGCCACCTGCTATGGCCACATCCTCCACACCATCCTGCATATCCCCTCAGCCAAGGAGAGGCACAGAGCCTTCTCAACCTGCTCCTCCCACATCATTGTGGTGTCCCTCTTCTATGGCAGCTGCATCTTCATGTACATCCGGTCAGGCAAGGGTGGGCAGGGGGAGCACCAGAACAAGGTGGTGGCATTGCTCAACACTGTGGTGACCCCGACACTCAACCCCTTCATCTACACCCTGAGGAACAAACAAGTGAAGCAGGTATTCAGGGAGCAGGTGAGCAAGCTCCTCTCACAAAGTTGAGTCAGACCTGAGAGAGGGAAAAAAAATCACCTCCTTGCCTGAACCTCTGCTAATGAAAGTCTTGTCCTGATCTCCATAGATTCTCCCTTCATAGAAAGGTTTTTGTCAAGTGTTCCATTCTACAGTAGTTTCCTGCATGCATTATTGGTTATTCAGTCTTGTTTAGCGAGCACAGAAAACTCAATATACCGCTACTATGTGTTATATGTCTATATGTTATATGTCATATATGTTATATGTTATATATCTCTGAGCTACTCAGACTAATGTGGAACTTTCAATCCTCTTGCCTCACCCACCCTAGTAGCAGAGATTATACGCAAGCACCACTTTGCCCAGAAAAAAACAACTTTCTCCTTACATACATATTTCTTTTGTTTAATCTTTATGTAGTTAAAATATGTAACATATAATAACAAGTCCAATTATCAAAGAGAGTCTTGTAAGTCAACTGGTGGGAAGGAAAACATACATGTTCAGAAGCCTATTAGCTGCAAAGGTTCAGCACGCTATGGACATGAATCATTTTGGGATTCTGTACAGCACTGAGTTTGAGAAAAGAGCTGGCAGAAACATATAGCTTGTGTTCAGACTCCAGCTCAGCTACTTACTGGTCTTAGAGAAATAAGATTTCTCTGTATCTCCATTATGCATATGTAGATCATCATAATATCTACCTCATAGAATCCTATACTCATTGAATGAGTCAATTTTATTAGAATGCTTAGCACAGGGTTTGGCATAGAGTGTCACGTTCGGTGTTAAACATTATGTTTTCTAGAAGAAATAAGTCAAATAAATTAAGTCAAATAATGAAGGTAAATTAAAATATCTACTATCTTACAGAAAATTAAATTCAATCCTCACTGTATATCTTAACCTAAGCAAATTCAAAATAAATGAAATAGATAAATATAAACCTGAAAACATAAAATGAAAGAACTTTTAGGTAGAAAATGTATTAATGATGCATAGAGAATTTTTAATGAAAAAAATATAAAAATAAGCTTATAAATTTAGACATTTAAGTTTTAAAATTTCATTGTGTCAGAAGTGAGCAGAAATAATGTAATAGCCATATGTAGTTTCTATCTGTCTGGCATCCATTCCCCATTATTAACATACTAGGAACCTGATTTCCTCAGGAGCATTCCTTCCTATTGTTCCATGCAACTAGGGTCGTGCTGACTGCATCCCCAGTCAAACTACAGCCATGCATATTGGCCCAGACATGGCCACATGATGAAAATCAGATCACTGGGCCCAAATGAGTCTCAATTCAGAGATGTTATAGGAACTTATAATGAGGCTCTCAGCAATCCTGTCTCAAAATTAAGAATAAAAAGGACAGGACTGGAGTTGTGGCTCAGTGGTAGAGTGCTTACCCAGCATGTGTGAGGCACTGGGTTTGAATCTCAGCACCACCTATAAATAAATAAATAAAGGTCCATCAACAACTAAAAAGTATATTTAAAATTTTTTTAAGAAAATAAAAAGGCCTGAGGATATAGTTCACTGGTAAAGTATCCCTAGGTTCAATCCCCAGTAATAAAATAAATAAATAAATAAATAAATAGGTCTTTAGCACAGATGTGCATTCAAAGAATACTTGGAATCAATTGAAGGTTAACTATTGAAACCCATATGAAACATCATACTTTATTGTAAAATGTAGAAATGTTATCCTCTGAAAACAGGAATGAATTATCAAGCACCTTTATTGTATAGTTTCTAAGCAGTGCACTAGAATAAGAAAAAAAATTAAAGAACTAAGTAAGAAAGGAAGAAATATTACCATTATCACCACTGATATGCTCTTGGAATTAATAAGTTCATAAAAATTGAGACTGAGAATTAGGGTCTTGCCATGATAAATACCTCAAAATTGAAACTGAGTAATGGGTGGAGGCTGGAAGCTTTAGAGAATCAAGCCTATATTTCCATAAATACAGAATTTCAGGCAATTCTATTGAGATCCAAGAGGACAAGAGTTGTATGGAGAACCCAAATCTTTTTAGGGGTTAGTCAAATGGTCATGATCACAATGTTGGTAGAAATGTGAACCAAAATTTCATTCTGATGAGATTTCAGATGGAAATGAGAACCAAGGTGTGAAACTAAGCATTTTTTAATTTTTTAATATTTATTTTTTTAATTATCGGCGGACACAACATCTTTGTATGTGGTGCTGAGGATCGAACCCAGGCCACACGCATGCCAGGCGAGCAGGCTACCACTTGAGCCACATCCCCAAGCCCCATGAAACTAAGCATTTTCAAGGAAAATAATTTCAAAGAAACTATATTACAATAGAACTCTTCGAGCAAGTACCAGATGGACATTGTCTCAAAAGCAGATAAAAAGACAGGCAGGCAGGCCTGTGAGACAAGGCACCAGGAGGCTTATAAGATAAGGGCTACCCTGAGCCTTTAGAAAACAACCCATTACTTCTGAACTTTTACATTGGACCTAACATTCTCATGATTAGGTAAAAGGACAGACCGCTGACTTGACCAATCATCTTGCAAAGGATACAGTGAAATACCATTTCAGTCCAATGGTCAGGGTGGAAGGCCACCCTGCCCATGAGTTGAGCATCCTCTCTCAGCCTTGAGTAAGGAGGGTGTCTGGTCTGGCATGACACTCCCCCCGCGCTGTGTGAAGCAAGTGGCCTCCACCTTCACTCAGCAAAGAAGTTCACTCTAGCCCTGGACTTGGGCATTACCCAATGGGATTGGGCAACCCCCCTTTGAAACCTTATCCCCTGACTTATCTGGTGAAGAACATTCCATTGAAGCTCCTTTGTGTGTCCCCCCTATAAAAATAAAGAGATTCTGGGTGCACCCTGTCTTGCCTTCCAGCGTAGATGAAGACCCTTGAGATTGCGAGCAGTCCCGCCCTCGATCTGAGAAACTCATGTTTGTGTGTTACATGATTTCTTCACCATTTTCTTATTTTAATGTTGCAGCCAGCTCCTTTGAACCCAGTTCATCTTGTCAGTGCAGGTCATTACCTAGAGGTCAGATTTTCCCTGTTTTACCTTAAGCCAACTATGTACTATCCCCATCAATGTTGTCACTCAATGTACACTGTATGCTAACCTTTGTTCTCTGCTTATAAAAATCATTGTACCTATTTTTTCTTCAGAACAGTCATTCAGGGAAATTAGCAGCCATGTTCTCAGGCCTACATCATTCATATTTGGATCAGAATAAATTGCCTTTTTATTTTTCTTTAATATAGAGTCATTATTTTGCATTGATAGACGTATTGAGAATTGGAGTAAAGGTCATCTTTGTTATACAATGGCAAAGAACTTGGTGGAATTATGACCCAAGACTTTATGGAAGGCAGAATGTAAGAGCAATGAACTAGGAGATATGGCAGAAGACAAACCAAAGCAGAAAAACGTTTGAGCTGCTACACAGTCTCTTGGTGGCTTACAGTAAAATGAGAGAAGAGATAAAGAATTGAAAAGCAGAGTTTATGTACAATTAAAAGTGAAGAAGAATGAAAATATTCAGAAAACTCTCAGCCTGGTCACATAAACGATGAATGAGAAAGCTTGTTTGGAAGAGAATACTAATAGAGTGGCCAAGTGAATATTTGCTACAGAGATTAATACAGGGCCAGGCACAGTGGTGCATGCCTGTAATCCCAGTGGCTTGGGAGGCAGAGTCAGGAGGATCTCAAGTTCAAAGCCAGCCTCAGCAACTTAGCAAGGCCCTAAGCACCTTAGTTAAAAAAGGGCTGGGATGTGGCTCGGTGTTTAAGCACCACTGAGTTCAATCCCCAGCACCAAAAAAAAAAAAAAAGGAGAAATTAATTTGGATAGGAGAAAGTCAAGTTCTATTCATCAAGACAACAGAGGAAAGACTCCATAGGCATTTCAGAGATGTTGAAGACAAGCTAGAACCTTGAGAGCAAGGTTTACAAAGATGTGACTCTAGGACCTCAGCTTTTGTTGTCCTGAGACTCAGGACTCTGCTTCCCAAACTCAGACACAGTGCCTCTCAGCCATCCCTGCCCTAGCACAAGCGGGTCCAGGTGTGGCTCCATCCACCTTTCCAGACGGTACAAACCATAAGCCTTGCCATCGTCGGTGTGGAGCTAATTCTTCAGGTGTTCAGAACGCAATACAGAGCCATAGTGGCCTGCAACTTGATTTCAAAAGATGATGTAGATAGCCTGTGGGCCCAGGCAGAGACTTGACAGGGGTGGAGGCACCACAGAGTCCTCACTAGGGCAATACCCAGTGGAACCATGAGAGTGGGTCAGCCCCTGAAACCTCAGAACTGTAGAGCTACCAGCATGTAACTCCAGCTTGAAAGAGCTGCCTGCACAAGACTCAAATCCATGAAATTTGTTGAGTGACCTAAGCCCAGGAAAATCATAAGACACTGGTTGAGACCTTGGGGGTCCAACATCTGCCTAAGTGTGCCCAGAATATGAGACATAGAATCAAAGGACTTCACAAATACTAGCTTCTTAAAACTTAAGTATTTTTTCCTCTTGGGTTTGAGACTAACTGGAGACCAGATACCTTTCTTTGTGTATATCTACTTTATGGAATGGAAATGTCTTCCCTATATCTATCTAACCACTGAATTTTTGAAGGAGATAATTTGATCCATAGGCTCACAGACAGAGGGGAATTTGCATCAGGATGAATCATGTCTTGAGCTTCACATATATCTGACTAAAATGAAACTCTGGACTTGGGAATTTTGAGTTGATGCTGAAACAGGTTAGGATCTTTTGAGACAGGGATGAAATGAATTTATTTTGCATGTGAAAAGGACATGATTTTGTGGGGAAAGATGTACAATGTTATTCTTTGCATGTGCCCCCCAAAAGTTCATGTGTCGGAATGTAATCCTCAAAGCAATCACGTTGAGAGGTGGGAAATTTCAGAGGTGGACTCCTGACAAAAGGAGGTGCTCAGCTGGGTTTCCTCTTTCTGTCTTACCCATGTGATCTTGCAAGTTTTGATGCAACAG